CCCCAAAACCCCAAAACCCCAAAACCCCTCCTTTATAGCGTTAAATTGAACAAATATTAAAATCAACATCATACCTATCTCACCTGCTTCACTACCTCCCTAACAATTTCCTCTACCCCAACTTCCCCCTTGAGCACCCCCTCTCAAAACCTTATCCCCTTCTTATAAATCAAACTCCATTCCTTCCTACTTGCTCCAAAATACTTGGATAGGTATGCGAGAGATGTGATCGTGGTCCAGAGGAGGGTGATATCTTTCTTGGAAAGGTCGAGATTTGAGAGTTCTGATGGTTGAGAAGGAGGTTTAATGAAAGAAGCGAGAGATTTGAAACTACCATTCGCAGCTTGAAGGGAGAGGATTTTATTTCTGGTTTCAGGATTAATATCAATACTTGCACCTAATCCACTCTTCGACTGTCATTTATCTTGACTATCTCTACACTTATTCCTCCTTCTCTTCATCTTATCCCTATTATCTCTCTCCTTCAACCCCATATCCCCACTTCCCACCTCCATCTCAACCCCTCTATTTCTCTCCAAACCTCCCATCCTCCTTCCACTCTGCCCAAACCCAACCCCCCTTCCTCTTGCACCTCTACTCCTTCTCTCCTCTCCATGCCCTGTCACACTCAAACCCCTTCCTCTACCTCCTCTTCCACTGCCTCTGCCTCCTCTGTAGCCAGTGAGTGGTACACTGCCTCTTCTATAACCACTGGTGGTGTAAGGAAGCTGACAGTAGATAGATTGGATAGAGCAGTAGGATTTAGGGGTGATGGTGAGGAGAGCAGGGGATTCACCAGTGGTGTGGGGGGTTTTGAGCTTGCCGAAGAATGTGGTTGTAGAGCAAAGAGTGTTGTACTTAAGGGAGATTTTGGTGGAAGAGAGATCGGAGGATGGAAGGGGGCTGATGTGCTGGAGGAGGTGCTGAGAGGCGAGAGTGAATGCTGGCGGGTTTTGGGGTACCTCTTCTAAAGTAACCTTGGCTTCTTTATTTTGTGTTTCTTCACAATCGGCTTCTTCTGCCCCAAGCTGTTGAGCTTTGAACGAGACAGGATGAGAGTGGGTAGTGAGAGGTGGTGAACAGCTGTAAATGGGCAGAGAAAGAGTTTTAACCTTCCCTCCTTCGAACTGATAATAACTCACAGTGACACAGCTAGGCTTTGTCTTCAAGATCTGGTCAAGTAAGGGCTTCGAGAAAATAACAAATAAGTGGATTGGCTCTTCTTCATAAGTGTCTTCGTAGCTGGAGTAGAGGGAAACACTTGAGGGATACTTAAAAGCATCAGCCAGAGAGTTCCAATCGATGGTTATGTTGGTCATGGAGGGACGGAGAGAGTCTTTGAGAGAGGTGATCACTTTGGAATTGAGGTCAGAGTCATGCTCGGTAGTGAAGGAGTAGGAACCCTTACCGGATCTAGCGGATTCTTTTACTAAGTATTTGTCAACACTGTGTCCGATACCGAATGAATGAACACGAGCTTTTGAAGAATTTTCTGATATCTTCCTGATTACTTTTTCCTTATCTTGTACGGCTCCATCAGTTAGCAAGAATATATTTCTTGGATACCCAGGAGTAGGTTTCATCTTAAATATTTCACACAGTGGGGTCAAGATTTCTGTACCTCCCAGATCTGCTGTAAAAGTATTTATCTCATCAATAGCTTCATTTAAACTCTCTTCATTATATTCGATAGATTCTTCCTTAAAAAGAGTATACCTTGTTCCAAAACTGACAATGTTAAACTTTGACCCCTCAGGAAGACTTCTAATAAATAGCCTTAAGGCATCTTTAGCAATGGATATTCTTTGTCCAGTCATTGAAAAACTTCTATCAATCAAGAAGATGAATTCGCCTGTTGCTATTTCAGGATCATCATTGCTTCCATCAGGATCTTTTAGGACCATTTCTTCAGCTTTGCCTTCCTCATTTACCTCAGGAGAGATCCTTGGTAGTCCACTCAGGTGGCCTACTACTTCATCTGGGTGCTTAGATGACGAATAGAACTTTAAGTTTAGTTGTCTTATATCTTCATATGAGTATGAGAGCATTATATCTTTTCGACCAACAGATTCCAAATCTGAGAATTCTAATAAATTACCATCTTTAACCACAGAATGTGAGAATTCCTCATGGCTCGTATTAAGGTTAGTCACTTCAGAATCTCATTTGAGTAGGATTCTTCAAGAGAACTTAGGCTTTATGATCTTGAACTGATTATCCTGCATCTGCATGAATGCAGGAAGAAAGTTCACAGGAAAAACAAAAGCATATTGGCCATGCTTAAAGGAATTGCACTTGGTCGAAATTCTGATATCTATCTGAACTTCCTGATTTTTCTGTAATTGTCCAATATTAAGAACCAATGCCTTTTGATTTTCTTCATCGTATTCAAGTCTGATAGCTGTATTCCCTTGGGCGACTGAATCATCATATTTTTCAGCTGCTTTCTCTTTCATCATAATTTGTGTTTCAACCGTCTTATCTCCTATTGTAGCTTTGACTCCATTGACTATGAATTCTTCATTTAAAGGAAATTGATAGACACATTCAATTGGTCTTCCAGTAGTATTTTTAAACTGCTGAGAGAGCTTGACTTCTGCAATGCTATTATAGATTGTTGCGTCCAAGTCTATTTTTTGGACTACCATTTTTTCTGAATTATCTACCTTGTTTACCACTCCCGAGATGGAAGGGATAACCCAAGGAGGTCTTCTAATACACCCACAAATACACGATCCCCTTAGAGATATGATTGAATGGTTTGCCTGTGGGAGGCTACGAGATCCACTCCCTGAATTTGCATATTCGCCAGTCAAAATTGACATTACAATTTAAGATTTTTAACTTTTTGACTTATATAACTTTATGATTTGGGGTTTTGGGGTTTTGGGGTTTTGGGGTTTTGGGG